GTGTCTACTTGCGATGGTGCCGGGGTCGTCCATGGGGATGTAACCACGCCATGTACCTCCCTTTGTGTGAAAGCGGTCGTCTCGTCGCGAGTCTCGATTCCGCACCGCAGCTAGGTATATAATGCCGAGCTGCCTGCCCTCTCCCCCGACACGATCTTCTGCCTTCTCCGTTGGTTACCCCGTCTTGCAACCCCAACAACCCCCGTCTTAAGGGAACCTGCTCAGGAGGGTCAATTCTTACTACACTTCGAAAGTAAAGACAGCCAGACCGACTCAGACCGCAACCATGGCTGGAGGTGTCGCTATTCAGGGGGGCACCACCGATCTCTCGCGTATCGAGGCACCGGTGACGGTCAAGGCCTACTTGATCTGTGCCTTCGCCGCCTTCGGTGGTATCTTCTTCGGCTATGACACCGGTAAGGACTTTTTATCTATGTAGCGCTAACCTCGCTGTTCAAACCGCTGACAACACCGCAGGTTGGATGGGTGGCGTTCTCGCCATGCCCTACTTCATCGAGCTCTACACCGGCCACAAGTACGACTTCGCCACGGCTATGCCCATTGATGTCTCCAAGGATGCTTTCGTGATCCCGGCTTCCACCTCGTCTCTGTTCACCTCTATTCTGTCTCTCGGTACTTTCCTCGGTGCCCTCGTGGGCGGTGATATCGCCGACTTCATCGGCCGTCGCCCCACTATCATCGGAGGTTGCATCGTCTTCACCGTCGGTTGCATTCTGGAAATCGCCAGCACCAACCAGGAGGTCCTCTTCGTCTTCGGTCGTCTGATTGCCGGTGGCGGTGTCGGTTTCATCTCTGCTGTTGTCATTCTGTACATGTCTGAGATTGCTCCCAAGAAAGTCCGTGGTGCCATGGTCTCGGGTTATCAGTTCTGCATCACCATTGGTATCCTTCTCGCCAACGTTGTTGTCTACACCACGCAGAACCGCAACGATACCGGCTCCTACCGTATCCCCATTGGTGTTCAGTTCCTGTGGGCCATCATCCTGGGCGGTGGACTTCTCATGCTTCCCGAGTCTCCCCGTTTCTACGTCAAGAGGGGTGAGATCGAGAAGGCCGCCAAGTCTCTCGCTTTCGTTCGTGGCCAGCCTGAGGATTCGGCTTACATCAAGGATGAGCTTGCTGAAATCATTGCCAACAATGAGTTCGAGATGGCCAACATTCCTCAATTGAGCTACGTACAGTCTTGGCTCGCCTGTCTCAAGGGCTCTCTGTCCAAGGGTGACAGCCCCATCCGCCGAACTATCCTGGGTGCCGGTCTCCAGTGTGCTCAGCAATTCACCGGTATCAACTTCATCTTCTACTTCGGCCCTCAGTTCTTCAAGCAGTTGGGAACCATTAAGAATGTCTTCCTCATCTCGCTCATTACTACCCTGGTCAACGTGCTTGCTACTCCCATCTCTTTCGTCACCATTGAGAAGCTCGGTCGTCGCGCTATTCTCATCGGTGGTGGTTGCGCCATGGTTGTATGCCAATTCATCATTGCTATCGTCGGTGTGACCGCTGGCAGGTCAGAGCTCCACAACAACGCCGCCGTGTCTGCCATGATTGCTTTCATTTCTATCAACATTGCCTTCTTCGCCAGCAGTTGGGGTCCTACCGCCTGGGTCGTGGTTGGTGAGATCTTCCCTCTACCCATCCGATCTCGTGGTGTCGGTATCTCGACCGCCTCTAACTGGTTCTGGAACACCATCATTGGTAAGTCAACCTATTACATGCTACTTACGCATTCCTCGATTTTCGATAGTATTGGCTAACAAGTCTGCGCAGCTGTCATCACTCCCTACCTGGTCAACGCCGACGAGGCCAACCTCGGACCCAAGGTGTTCTTCCTCTGGGGCTCGCTCTGCATCTTCAGCACCCTGTTCGCCTACTTTCTCGTTCCTGAGCTCAAGGGTCTGTCGCTCGAGCAGGCCGACATGTGTATGGCTTCCGTGCCTCCCCGCAAGTCCCGCGGCTGGAGACCCGACCACACCTTCGTCTCCGAGGTGCAGCACACCAGCGACGAGAAGGGCCTCGCCTCCGAAGCCGTTGAGGAGACAGTCTAAGCTACTTCTCTTCCGGCACAGGCGTGACCACTGTATACTGTTATCTCTTCGGGATAGAGGATCATGTTACAGGGGTCTGACGTGTAGAACATCGTCAAGGTTTCTAAACTGTCCTTTAGATTATATATACATATTTACTTTACTATAACCTTACAAGATATCCCCGGGTTTCACTCTGCCGAGTAGCCCATCTATAGTAATAAAAACTACAGAGTTTTTACACCACAAGCAACTATTTTCATCATCTGGCTTCAGACTTAGAACATGCAGGTTGTCTAACACGTGCTTGTACAGCTCATCTCGTACTATGGAACACTGCATGCATTTTGTAAGGCGATAGACAATCTGCTTGAGCTTATCAAGCGGGTGAGACCCCAAGGTACAGCACCTACCGAATCCACCGCAAAGCGGGGCCTTTTGGACCCAGAAATCGCCACCCAGAAACTCTGCTCCAGCGGTCAGCTCAGCTAAGTCTGCCCGAAACCAAAGGACCCAAGCCCCACTGAGACATGTACTCGGTACGCCGTGTTTCCGCTGTACTAGCTATCCTGTCCGAAGACAACAAGAAGAAGAGGGAAAAGCATGCAGCGTCGCAGTCGCACGTGGGACCGGCGCGGCCCGTCCGAAATTGGCAGGTCCTTGCCCCAGCTACAGCTAACCTACATAATCTTTTCTGTCTCTTACGAAGTACGCGCGCGGCGCCGTGCTGAATACTAGACGGGCGACCACACGATTCCAGTACACGACACGATGCAGGACAATAAAACGTGGGTTACACACCGGACACGAATGCCCCCGGCTTATTCACGTGAAATACCAGTTTTTGGTAAACGTCTTCATTTGCCATCTGGGGTACGGATTAATTACTAACTTTATCCTGTCATGTGCCCCTTGCACTTGAAGCCTTAGCAGAAGGTCTCAGGCTGGAACAAAGGTCAAAAAGTCCACCTCGGCCTATTTACTTAATTAATTCAAGCTCGCTATTTTTCTGCGCTTTCTTCCCCGGATTTCTCTTTCACCACTAACCCGTCAATCACCTCGCCTCCCTCCGCCATATCCGGAATACATTTTACTTAATTTGAAATACATGTTGTAGCATACGCAACCCAAAACATGTATCGCGGACCGATTGTTTTTGTAGATCGGACGAATTAACATATTCTTACACTATGCTACTTGCCCCCCCTTGTGTAGAACGCGTGAGCAGACGATCAATCCGTCGACCACTTAGTTGGCTGGTTCATACTCCTCACAGTAGTGCTGGTTTCTAGTGTGGTGTACATCACTCAATCACGACTGGTGTCGATCTCTGTCAGTGCATGGAAAAGTGAAACAGTCGACGTGTTGTAAGCGAGGGGGTATAATCGCCACCGCTCTATGGTGCGTGCCGTTCGTTCCTTCGTTGACTTACACTACCATATCTTCAAGTTCTTACACATATTACGCTATATAATTATTTATGAGCAGATATGCAAGGCACTCGCAGACTCATGCTCCGGGTACAAATTATATCCACCCGCTTATGTCGTATGGCAGTAATCATACTGCACTGCAGTATTCTCCCGAGTGTGGCCAGACTAAACACGAAGTAGATGGCCTTGGAAAATACTGGCCTATCATCGGGTGCCCAGGCCTGCAATGCGCATCGCTCTGCGTGTCCATGCAACGCTCTGTTATCTTGATACTACAGCTTTTAATCTAACGTGTTATTAGCTCGGACATGCACATATTCAGCTTCTAAAGCTTGAATCTGCCTCTTGGCAATTTAATATATCTATACCAATGAAGGTGTCTACCGTTGGGCCCTGCTCTTTATTATTCGCTACCAATCCCGCATTCTAGACCATATAGGACAAGAATGTCCGCGCCTGGTCATATGTGCATCGACTCTCGGCTCTAATTCGTTGTATTTATCTAGCAAGCCTATTTCCTCACTACTTGTAACATTCGCCATCTCATTTCAGTTCTCATCTATCAGCTTACTGCCTTGCCCTACATACTATCATGGGTTCAATACAATCTACCTCTCATTGATCGTGAAAGAGTTCACTATTTACATATTTACACCACGGCTGTTCCATCACAAAAGCGCACCATAGTTTGCTTGGGTAATACGTTTCAAATATCTCAACGAGCCATCAACTTCAACTCGCTTGCTTTCTTATATATTACTTTTGCTATATCTTTTCGACTCGCGGCTCGAGAAGCCGGGCGAATCAATCTACCCTCACCCTCGCGGGTCGGCAGTGACTCGTATTGCTCCCGGGGCACGTCGTCTTGGGAGGCAATTCGGTCGCTTCGTTCCGCATCCTACCGACCGGAAGATTGTGTGTCGAAAAAGCCCAGCGCCGAACGGACTTAAGTCTTGCCCGAACTCCGTGGCTGGGCATTTACTTATCGTAGGAGCATACTTGCGCATATCTACGGTATCTGAGAACAGCACCGTGATGGATGACTAACTAGGACTTTTGATCTGATAGAAACCGATTTTCAGCATCTAACCTAGGTAGCTCGGTTCCAATGGAACGACGACTTTTAAACTCGGCAGTATCACTGCACGTTATCCATTGTCCGGAGCGTCCCTTCAATTCTTCGGCATTGCATTGCTTCTTTGGCATTATCTACCGATGAATCTCTGCACCGGCTGGTTAGCTCTATGCGAATGTTCAAAGGAGGAGATAGATAATTAGTGTATCGCGTAGTCGCCTTATCGCCTCCAACATGTAGGAAATGCGACCACTGCACAAATAGACAGACATACAGCAGACCTGCATAGACCAGCTTCAAGTTGTGAGTGATAACAGTAGGTACCAAGGTAGTTAAAAACCCCATCATTCCATCTAGTCCAACACGTCTTGCGCGGAGCTGAGAATGTACTCGTTTTCGGGCGCACCCACTCATATGAAGGATCCACCCGAGATCAAGCATGAAAAGGTCTTCGTGGCTCAGTTGGCTAGAGCGTTGGTCTCATATTCGTATGATCCAATCAAAGATTGGGATATCCAAAGGTCGTGAGTTCGAGCCTCACCGAGGACACCATATTTTTTCTATTTTTTGAACACAACATACTTTTTGCCCCCCCTCTACCCCTAAACTTTCATAATTGTCTTTAGCAGATTCATATACTGTACGGCCATGGGCTGTTTGTAGTAGCTGTATTTTTCTCTTACAAGCAAGTATACTATATAAATTGATACGACTCTAAGCCGCCATTTAGGAATGGATTGTCAAAGTTGCCTCATGCTTCGATCTCTATAAGTAAACTAACAAAGCTGAAAATGAGTAATTCCTGCCTGCCCGGAGATTTGGCAATGGCTGTTAGACTCCCTAGGCAATCATTACGATTTGGAGTAATGAACTTACAGCCCGATAGCCAAAGTTACGAAACCCAAAGAACACCATGAAAAGCCAACGATAGGTATTATTGTCACATCTACGAAGTAGAAGAAATGCGAATAGATCAAGATAATATGGATTCGTCTAGATTGCCTCAAGCTAAGCCAGCATTCCGCAATTTTTGGACCACCATGCCGTCGGGATTCGAACTCCAACATGTCCAGGGTACAATGCACTCGGATATCAGGTCCTTTCCCTCTCGTTCCGTCCCTTCCATCTCGAGTCTATTTGAACATTCGTTCAGTCAATTACTCGTTCTTTTGTGCGTAGATACTCTCTACACTATGTTACTATATTGGACCATCCGGGGACAAGAGTTTGCGAGATCTATGCACCCGTTCCGATCTTATTGAGTCCCTTAAGCGACCCGAGACTCAGTGCTAGGCCTTGTGATCTGCTTCTTATGCGAACAAAGCCTGTGATAGGTCCATCCTCGCCTTCCTTTTCTATACTTAAGTTGGCCAGAGCATCCTCCCCTGTCTTCGGGTTAGCGTCTCGCGGGAATTTAGAGTACGGGAGGGTACATACCGAATACACTCCTGGCGTATAAATTCGCGCTCAAGAATTGGCAATCACCCTTCATGCTAGCTTCAGGTGTCAAACAGCTCATGTTTGTGCAAGTCATTAGTTGCTCTAAGAATTCGCGAAGGGATTTGGCTTTGCTGTTAATATTCACTTTGTTTTCCCATTCGAATTCAGTCCACATTGTCCGAAATTGCGTTTCTGTACATGTGGCGGGCTGGATATAATCCATAATGTCGACGTGAAGGTCGTTGAGAATGACAACATTGGTGTCCGTGCTATGGGCACCGTCATAGACAACGTTGCCGAAGATGACACCAGTATCGGTGGATGAGACTTTGATAGTGCATTGCACATTGTGGAAGTCATGCGGGCCCAAGTTTTGAGTAGTAGGTCGCTCGACAACCTTAAGGTCACCAAGCGTAGCGAACTCAACCGAGAGATTTTGTAGCGTTTCGGTCGTCTGATTGACTAAAAGGACATCTAAGACGATATCAAATTGGTGTACTTTGACGTAGGCTTCGGCGTACACGGGGTCGGAGAAGCCGGTGAGCTGAACGACTCGGCTCAGCTTCGATGTAAGGTCTTCCGATGTGGCTTCACCACCGGTTGCTCTCTCAAGATCTAGTTCTATTTCATCGGCGCCTTCTCCTTGATTCTTCTTTGAAAGTTGACGAATTTGAACGACATCGTCTACCTGGATCGCTGTCTTCGCCTTCTCGAAAGCTTCCTTCGCGGCTCGCTTCTTCTCCTCAACCTGGACCATAGCCCGGAATGCTTTTCGAGTGTCGTCGAGGAAGACAGATTCGAGTTGCTTGTTATTGGAGAATTCAGCTAATGACCGAACACAGGACATAATTCTATCGACAGAGTCTTCGTCGATGGGTGCCTTGACGAACTGCGATTGGCCAACACGAATGATCGAAATCATGATCAACATGGCTTCGGCTTTGAGAGCATTCGTCCGTGCCTTGTCCGACGAGATCTCAGAGTGGCGCATGACAAGCTTTGTTAGTGTGGCAGAGAGAACGGTTGCCAAATAGTAGTCTCCGTCTAGGATCAATTGCCTCAACGGGGGCTTTTGTGCCGCCTTGACGGCTTCCAACCTTGCAGCCGTAGCGGAAGCGCTTGTCAGGGCGGTCTCCGTAGCGTATGTACCATCTGCCAGGACTCGTCGAGAGCCAGAAGGCTGTGCAGGTTTAGAGTTACCGTTCACCTGTTCTTGCTCCTGCTCATTTTGGCCATCGACGTTATCCAGCAGACGCTGCTCAGATGCCAAGATGGGGATCTCGCCTAGACTTGCGCGTATTTTCTTCCATGCATCCCTAATGTCACTTTCTTCAAGAGAATACTCGCCAACAATCCAGATGATCCCGCGGTAGACCTTACCTGCCCGGACTTCACTGAGTGTATCGACCAACCGAGCGACAATCGAAGGTCGCAGCTTAGGAAACTTTTCAACGACCTCCTTGACGAAGCTGATAACATCGACAGCAGATGTGTTGCTGAAGTCGGCAATGAAGTCCATCAGCAGATCGACTACGCTGGCAGCAACTTCGGAGAATTTGATGGCGCATTGATGTATCGATTGGATCAGTAGCTGGCGGTACTCGGTGTTCTTCTCGTATTCCTGATCGACGGTCTTTGATAGCTCTTTCTTCAACAGCAAAATCACTTCCTCAACATTCTTGCTGGACACCATCTCTAGAGCAATTCCAAGAGCCTTCCGCCTCACGTCAATATCGGGACTTGAGAGGACGCGGAGAATCTCCATAATAAGGTCGTCAAGAACTCCCTCATTGCGCTGGCGCAATTGGTCCACACGATCAAGTACAATCAGCTTCACGTTGTTATCCGCCTCCTTGATGCTCAGTTCGATAAACTTCGCAGCGGCGGCCTTGACAGCGACGGGGTTGCTGGTAAGGGATGTCAAGGACGAAGCGGCTTCATATACGACAGTTGAAGTATTCGCTTCTAACAGGTCAAAGATGAGCCTTAAATACCGCGCCTGTATCCGTCAGTAAACGAATCAGAACTGGTTATGCGAGCTCTCAGCCTACCTTGTTCTGCTGGTTCTGGACCGCGTCTTTGCGAATGAACTCGAGTTCTACTAATTGCAGGAGTTCCTCTGCATTTGGGATACCCTCAAACACGTTGCTCAGATAGGCGAGAGCCTTGTCATGGTCGATGCTCGATAGAGCCGCAAAGGCATTGCGCTTGCAAGTGGCATCGCTCTCTCCATCGAGGAAGGTAGCGATCAGGTCTGAGGCGTCTGGAATTAGAGAGGGGGAGTGTTGGTGGATCGAGGCGACGGCAAAGACGGCGTTCTTTCGCACATAGGCGTGTCGGTGCTCGAGGCAAGACCGCGCAGATGACAGAAGGGGCTCGATCAGCTCGGATTCTCGCAGTTTACACAAGAAGCGCAATGTGTTGCCCCGGATGTACTCGTTGGGATGTTGTAGATCGTTCCGGATGCCATTGCTATATATTCCACAGCCTGTCAGCGCCGGCCGGGTTTGTATGCTTGACTATTCTAGTAGTTCTAGCAATAGCAAGGGCACACTCACCAGACCAGGATCATCTCCTGCTTCAGCTTCCCGCTGGCATCGAGCTTGGGGCAGATCTCGTAGTAGAAGTACAGCAACTTCTTCAGGTGCTTGGATTTCGAGGGCATGACGAATCGAATGATGTGCATGAGGAGCTGCGGCATGGGGTCGCCGTTCAGCATGATGGTCAGGATGCGCTTCATTGTGTCGACCTTGGTCTCGTCAGTGCCTTTCTCCAGCTGCGTGCGCAGCTCCGACATGGAGGGCACATCAGCCGCATTGTCCTGGTGGACTAAGCTGTACGCATTCTCGAGAAATGTCGTCATGATGGGCAACTACTGCGGCTCTCGACCGCCTCGTCAATGCCGTTGTCGTGTCGGTGTCGGGCTCGTCGAGGTGCAAGGGCAAAGGAAAGGCCGGCCCAGGACGAGTGAGACGAGTTGAGGTCCGTGTTGAAAACGCCCCCTCAACGAGGCAGTACTGAAGCGGTATGGCGAGATGCCTGTGGTCTGGGCGCAACCGGGGACGTTGTCAGTAGACGGGAGGTAGTCGGCTGGGTATAATGCGACTATGCATCCCTCAGCTGCTGGTAATGCTGGCAATACCTAGTGATGGTGTGTTAGGTGTAAGTTACATGAAGCTGTCCAATTCGTGCCTAGGTTGTCCATAGAGGTATCAATCGGTGGGTATGCACCTGTAAAAGGATCCCACACAGAAATCTGTCCCTCCTGAACTGTCAAAGTGGGGCCTCTTTCACCTGCTAATTGTCTGTAGTGGATTGTGGGCCAGCACGGCGGTAGGTAGAGCCAGCCAGGTCGAAAACAGCACTGGAAATATCTGGATTACCTAATAGGCATGGGTTAGCGAGCCAATCATATTAAATAATTCCCACCATAGTTCGAGCCCACCACATTGGGTAGAGAATATGCTCCGATAGAGCCTTATCGAAAGGGTGCCTGCTCCATGCCGGGTTGCTCGATCTACTTGGCAGGTTATCCCTGCCCCGCCAAATGTACTTTAGCAATTGAGCTTATTCGAGATGCGCGAGTCCTTCATGCGTGTTTCAACACCGAACGCTCTCACTTACCTCACGAACAATCTAACAACAGCATTGTGAACCTGTATTCTCCAGACTCTTCTGCATCTTTGCGCCAGATTCCACACAATCATATACAGCAGCATGGCTTCGTCCGGCGAGCCTTTCTATATCCGCTACTAGTGGGTTCACTCTACCGCCCAATAAGTGCGGTTCACAGCAGTACTGACGGCGCAATACTTCAGCTCCGGCCATTCTGGTCGGTTCGGCCACGAGTTCCTCGGTACGCACTCCACAAAGCCCTGACGCATAAATGGTCATAGATGCATGTACTGGTGGTGGGCACGCAAAGCTGACTCGATCACGCACATGCGCAGAGTTCGACTTTCGAGTCGTCGGTGACGGCCGGAGCGCAGTCGCGCGCTATGCCAACAACTCGAATTACCGAAACGACAGCCTTATTCGCAAAGAGAGTATGCGCTCCTACTTTTAATACGTCTTGCCCTCCTCGATATGCCAAATAGTCATCTCGCCCA